ATGACAGGGAGGTAATTCAGCTTATTCATTGATTGCTGCTTGGAGGAGGTACTGGGGATTGAACCCAGGACCTCTTGCATGCTGCGCATGCGCTCTACCACTTGAGCTATACCCTTCCCCCTGACATTACCGTTTTCTATCAGTCAGTTACTAATCACCTCCCCTGACAATCATCTTTGACACCTCCTTTCTACTGCCAACTCCCCCAAATCCTGTCATTTTTGACTTCAGTCTCTTCTTACTTCTTTTCACAAAGTACCACCCCAATCCAAGCCTTCATCCTATCTTTGCTTTGATCATAGTAAAGCTTTCTACCTAGACTCTTGCTCCCTTCAATTATTTGGCTACACACAGCATTCAGTGGAGAACCATACCAATGCCCTTGAAGGGCTAGGCTGTGCCTAACTCCAGCCCGATCTCACCAGGCTTCACCCCTCACTCTCTGTGCCTCATACATGGAGGCTTCTTTGCAACATGTCTCTAGAGCTTGTCATTCTTTCTGGTCTCAGTGCCTTTGCACTTGCTGTTTCCTCTGCATGGATTTTCCCACAACGACCACGCTTTGCCTGATTCCACTTATTGCTCAGGCTCCAACTAAATTCCAGTTGCTCAGAAAAGCTTTCCATTCCCTTTGATGATGCTTTTAATCTCCCACCCCACTTTTGCATCTCCTTCATAACATTTCTTCCAGTTTGTAATTATTTTGTGTGTGTGATTTTTATTTTTACAGGGATCTTTTTGTGATTTTTTTTTTACAATAATCTGTTCCTACTGGGCAGTAATCTTTGGGGGGAGGCAAAGATTGACTATTTCATGTTCTATGTTATATTTCTAGCACTATGCCTGTCTCATCATAGCCAACTACATAATTTTGTTATTTGGTATATAAATGAGGATAAATAGGATTGCTTTCATATATATATATACACACACACACATATATATCTCCATACATACAAATATGCTTATGTTCGAAAATGACGATGTTGCTAATGACACCAGGCATAACATTTTGGGATAACTTCGGTTCCTTTCCAAGGAACAAACATATAGAATAAGAACCTTGATTAGTCAGTATAATTTCCCAAAACTTTAAGAGGTGAGGTGATAACTTTTGTGACATGGTAAAATCTCAAGGGAATACTTACCTGCTTTTCCTAAATTGCCTCTGCAAATTTCACCTGTAGATGACATTTATTGGCTGCAATTCCTCCCTTGCATTTGTACGAGGTGTCAGAGAGACCCATAAAAGGGCTGGGTTTTAGCAAGGCTGTTCTGACAAGATGATCGTGGAGGAAAACTTTTAAACATGGTATTGTTAACAGAGAGTTAAAAACCCCTTTCTAACTTTGGCATAATATAAGTTTCCTCTTCCCATAAGATGGTTTTTCACTTTACAGACTAGTGGTAAGTCCATATACTGTCATCTCAGTGAATGGCACCTAGTAACCACCTTACAATTATCTTGGAGTTTAGATTTAGCTCCCCTAATATTTTCATCACTTCCCATCATGCAGATCCATATACCAAATGCAAAGGCATTTCTCCATACATGCGTGGGGCTCAGATTCTGTGAACACCTCATATATAGTCAAGAGAGAAAGATTCAGATACTTCCGTGGCTTTTAAGAGTCACCCCACAGGATCCTCTCCAAGGTTAACGTCCTTCCTTTCAAGAGTCACTTTATTCATTATTGTGAAAAGATTCGCCCCTGTTAAATTTATAATGATGTTAAAATATAAATTTAAGGGCATGAGTGATGAATTAGTACTTCAAATATTTGAACAGTGAGAGTAATTTAACAGGTCGACTCTTGGCATCAGTATATTTCAGAAGAGACACCTGGCAGAAAGCATTTCCAAAACAGATCATAGTGTATAGGAAATTACTTCATAATGTCATCATGATAACTGGTCTGTATGGAATGAAACCCTGGCCCACAATATTGTGTACCTGGCCCAGGCATGTAGTAACACCACAGTCATTCTTTTTCCTTCTTTCCCACATAATTCCTTCTAACTTCCTTACTAAATCTTTATGAATACTACCCTCCCTGCCTTTTTTTTTTTCAGTTCCTGCTCAAGTTAGAGCTCAGTACTTCATATATCTTGACTAGGGATTTTTAGTTTTCAGTTAAGAGCCAAGAGTGAAGTTCTCAGTGGAATGTTACAGTCATCTACACCCCTGGACCCAGGCCTAGAATTCAAGTTACTTTGCAACAGATCAACTTCCAACACACTAGATGTTTGGGAAATTTTGTGTATGTGTATGTTAAAATATATATATATATATATGTATCTTTCAATTCTCATTCATTTGGGAAAAGAATTTCACAAGGATTAACAACTCAAGAAAGCAAGTCATCTTGTAAAGATGATTTAGCAGGACAATTAGCTAACTTGACAGAAACTAAATGACCATCCCAAAAAATAACTGGTGATCAACCATGCAGAAGATTGCATTCTTATGGAAAATGTTGTCTTTTCTGCTTAATCATAAAGATTGAGCTTGTTCCAACTCTTTCCCATAGATGCAAGATGGAAACCACCTAGTTCAAATGGCTCAGAGAGCTCTGGTCTTGCTTAGGGTCTTATCCAGCATGGAGGATGCTTTTGGGACCCAAGAAATTCTGGGAGTGATCCTGGATCCTAGATATTCCATTGAATGTCTAAGAAATATGTTTGGATTAGCATTTGTGAGTGATCTTGGTTGAGTCCTAGAGCAGACTGAAATCTTGAGGTCCTATAAAGCAGATACATTCAGGCACCAAAAAATCTCAGTCCACTTGCAACTTCTGTCTTGAAGATTGACCAAAACCTGGTATTGTAGATAGCAAGAGAAAGTCACTTTTGCTTAGGTTCCAATTGCTTTGGAATTATGCCATCTTTTTCCTTTTGTAGTTGTTTACAAAAATCATCTAATGACATATGAGGTAGAAATCCACTATTACTTTTATTTCCATGGTAATAAGTAGACTCCTGAGAGCCAGCAATGAGCTAGGATTTACATCACTGTGTGTTTACTAAATGTACTAAAACTACAGTTCTAGCTCAGAAGTGCAAGGTAAAGAACTTAATGCACATTTTCTCAACTCATTGCTTTCTTTTAAAATTTACTTTTCTCCCTCTTAACTAAAAAACTTTCATTGAATTATTATTGGTTCTTTCCCTTCCTTGTCCAACTGCCAATTTCTAATGCCAGGTCACCCCAAACCCCCAGTTTTCTCCATGAACATTACCTTTCCCCATTTTCACAAAGAAGTCAGAACAACAGCAACAAAAATCTCTCTTTTGACTCTTTCTTTCCTTCTTTGACTGAACACTCAGTTCTTTTTTTATCAGCTCAAGGAATCCATTTCTTCCCCCAGCTCACCACCGACCTCACAGAACTGCTCAGAACTTACCAGGGCCTTCCTGATTGTCCTTTGACGTGCCTTTATGTTTACGGGACACGGACACACACAACATCTTGTAATCTTTTCCAGCGACTCGTAGTCGTGTCCTAATGGTGGCACTTTCTCTATCTCTTTTTCCTAATTCTTTTTTCTTCGTCTACCTGTGTTGTGAATGCTGGCTCGTGGCTCAATATTTTAAACTATTTTTGTTTTTCTGAACTACAGAATAATCCTAGAAAAACTGTGATTCACTGCCACTACATCAAACATTGGTCATTCATAAAGGTACATGTCTGTGTGTGTATTTTTTCCCCTAAACTCCAAGCCTCTATTTTCAACTGCCTCAAACTGAACAGTTTATTAATCCTTACCCCTCTCTGCCCACCAAAAAACAGACAAAGTTCAACATCAAAAGGTCAGCGTTGGGGGCGGGGTATGGTATAGCTCAGTGGTAGAGCACATACTTAGCATGCACAAGGTCCTGGGCTCAATCTCCAGTACCTCCATTAAAAAAAAATTAAAAAATAAATAAGTAAGCAAATAAGTAAGTAAGTAAATAAATAAATAAATCTGATTACCCCACCAAAGGATAAAAAAAAAAAGGCCAGCATCATCATTTTTCTCCCCTCATCCTTCTCTTCTTCCCCATTTCCAGCCATTTGATGCTCCAGTTCCAGCACCTTCCCCTCTGAAGCAGCTCTTATCCTCGTCACCTGTCTCTTTTGCTTCTCCGCGAATCTGGGTCCACTGTCATTCTTAGACTCGTCTTTTTCAGCCTCTTTTCTTACTGCTTCAGTTTCCTTGCTCACACCCAGCCTTTCTCCTTCCTGCTACCAGAGTTAATCTTCTAAAATACAGCCATTATCTTGTCATCCTTTATGGGATTTCTCTATTGGATTCCTGTTGCTATAAAATTGAAACTTCTCCTTAGAGGGTAGTCAGGTCGTTCCCAATTTAAGTGCTGCATGAATACTCAACCTCTTTTCTACCTGCTCCCGGTATTCGGTGTACTCTGGTCACACCGAACTATAACTTCTCTTACTTCTGGGCCTTTGACTGTTTTTCCTGCTACCTGAAGCTTCTTTCCCTTTTGTGTCTAATAGAACTCAAGCCCCACCTTTTCTGTCTGTTTTTCCCTGACTCCCCAACAGGATCATTTGCTGCTGCACGAGTGTCTGCCTTCTGTGTTCCTTCAGCCGAGCACCTTCGTTTGCGCCCTTATTTGTTTTCCAGTCTGTCTCTGCCCTGCGGGAATGAGGCCTCAGGAGTCACCCCTCAGGTACGCGTCCGACACCTGCATGTTAAAATGAACAGACCGCAAATGTATTCAAAGAATTCACAATTTGCATTTAATTCAACTTGAGAGTGATGGAGCAGCAGTCGAAGGGTTTTGAAATCTTTCCAAATACAAGTTCTTACTCCCACGCGAAGGAGACTTCCACGAAATAGCCACGACTTTTCCAGGCTCTGCAGCTGTGTGAGCTGTATCTTCACGGACTGGTTCAGCCAACAGTTATGGTTAGCAGGTTCAAGGTTAAGGCTCGCTGGTCTCTATCATTACATTTTTATGTACTTAAATCCATTTTAGTCCCCTTGTCGACCTACTCTATGCCTTATTTGTCCACGTTAAAAAAAAAAAAAACCTTGTATACTGATATCAATGCTTGTTACTCACTAAGCATCATAAGGAGGTATTATAAAGTTCAACTCATTCCTTATTTGTAAATTTGTCTATAAAGAAAAATAATAACTTGATGATGTGCTATTTTGTGATTGCTTAAAAAGGCCTCCCTCTCAGAAACTGCATGTCAGCCAGCAGCCCCATCTCCCATCCCCTCCTCTCTGCTTCTGGGTCTGAGCGCCTCCCAGGGTCACGGTCTCCACCTTGAACCTTGGATGGAAGCTTGGCAAAGAAAGCACCAATGAGTCAGCGCACTGAATTCTGACTCTGCCGCCTCCCAGCTGTATTATCTATCGTAGCACATCACTGTTGTGAGGATTAAATGAGCCCCTGTGAGTCAAGTGGCCAACCTGCAGGAGGCGCTAGGAAAATGGCACCTCTGCTGGTTGTCACTGTCTCCTGACTTCCAGCTGCTGTTGCTCCTACATCTCTGAATCCACGTTTCCCCAAACAGCTCTGAATCCAGGCCAACTTTTTTACTAAAAGAAGAGGCAATTTTTAAAAAACTATTCAGTAGTTACTGAATAGGTACTTCTGAATTATCCCAGGCCATTGTCTCTTAAGGCTACAAAGAATAAATACAACTAATAAAAATGAGAGTTTTTCATGGATTTGAAGTTTTCACTACACTGCTCCTAATTCACCTCCTCTCATCATCCGTTTCTGGGTTTTCTGTAGGACAGATGAATCTCAATTGGCTCAATGGGAGGCAGCAGAGGGGAAGAGGAGGTGAAAAAGGGAAGCTAGTAGTTGATTGAGTAGAAGATTTAGTAGATTTAGTAAACGGAATTCTAGTTCTAATCACAAGGTTCTCGCCCCCTCTGCACACCCCCTGTATGATCCTCTCTTCCTAAGTATGGGTGGGACCTATGGATATTATGGGACATGGCTCCTGTGATTAGATTATCAATCAGTTGACTTTGAGTTAATCCGGAGGGAGATTATCCTGGGTGGGCCGGACCTAAGCAGGTGAGTCCTTTAAAGGAGGGCTGGGCCTTTCTTGAAGAGAAAGCTCATCCTACTGACTCTGAAGAGTAGCTGCTGTGAAGTAAGAGGGTCACAGGCCTCAGAATGGAGGGTGGCCTCTAGGAGTTCAAAGCAAACTTGGCTGAGAGCCAGTAACAGAATAGGGACCTCAGTCCTACAACCATAAGGAACTGAATCCTGCCAACAGCGTTTGTGAGCCAGGAAGAGGACCTGAGCTCCAGATCAGAGCACAGCCCAGCTGACACCGTAATTTCAGCTTTGTAAGACCCTAAGTGGGGGACCTAGTTATGCCCTGCCCAGACTTCTGGATGACAGAACTGAGAGCTGATAAATGAGTGGTGCTTTCGGGTGCTAAGACTGGGATGATTTGTTACATAGCAACAGTAACCTAATGTACTTACAAAAACAGTTTAATTTATATAGTGCTTTAGACAGCAGATCTCAAAGAGGGTAGGAAGTGACAAATAGGAAGAAAGGCTGGAATCTACAATGACTCTCCCAGCTCTGCCACTTCCTAGCTCCCTGGATTTGGGGAGTCACTTAGCTTTCCCAGCCTTAATTTTCCTGTAAAATGAGGAGCTGAACAATGGACATAGTGCCTCCAAGTTGCTTTGGTGCTTTCCAGGTTCTAAAAGTCCTCTCACATTCTGTTTTACAATGCTCAAGTGATAAAACTCTTATTTTTTGAGAGAACAAACAAGGCAGATGAGGAAGTGATGTGGAAAATTGCACAGATAGCAGATCGAACCCAACTCGGCAATCCTAGCTCCTCTATCTTGCAGACCATCCTGTCTCCAACCCTTTCTCCAAGCTTCAGCCAGGCTCCCAGACACTAAACGGACTCCAGGAGGGTTTATAAGCTTCAGCCACAGGTCCAGAGGGGATCTGAAGAATTGTGGCTGTTTTCTATTTTGGGAGGGTGGAGGTTTGCTTTTATTTCCCACAGGGAGATTTTTGGCATACGTTTTCTGCCAAAATAATCAGTAAGATAAAGCATCTGCCATGGAGATGAATGCTGGATAAACTTTGATGTGCATTGATGGTGGAAAAAAAAGCTTTTCTATAAACAATAGCAATTAAACTAAAAAATATATCACAGCTTAAGGATTCTTTAGGGAAATGTGTACGTGTTCCCAAGGAAGGTCCATGGTCCTGAAGAAGCAAAATTGTTGGCATGGATAAGAGAGATGTTTAACAGAGCTGTTTCTGCTCTACTACATAAGTTTTTATCTGTTGATCTGTACAAATAACCCAAACGGAAACTTCTTTATGAGACAGAAAAGCAGAGTGAAATGTTTCAAGTCCGCAAAATCAGCTGGAATGAAATTATAGCTGGGTCGTTTAGGAAAAGGTTCCTCTCAACAAGATTTACTATGTTATTCTGACTAGATGAATTTATCTCCTTTTCCCAACCTCATTAAAACATAAAACACTTCCCTGAAGCCACTTTGGCTCAAATGTGTTTTTCAAGGAAAGTTGTGGTATGCATTAACTAATTCCAAGAAACTAAAGTTATCTACAATTTTCAAATCCTGGAACAATCTCCAAGTGTTCAATAATATAGCATGCTTTAACCGTGTTCACAGACTGTCTATATAGACAAAGTAAAAAGGAAGAGGAAGGAACACAGTGATCCTGATTTTGACAAATTGGGCCCCAATTCTAAAGGAAATGTTGCCACTGAAGTCTGAACCATCCAAACTGGCCTGTAAACATGGATGCAATTATCTGTACAATCAGATATCAACGTTTTTGTAGACCATGTCTCAGGTCATTAATAAAAGCCACTCATGAACTAGCCCTAGGTATTTCAATGTGGTGATGGAACTAATATTTAACTGGACTTACATGTCTTTAATCACACGCCCCATGAATTGAAAATATCTGGGAACTAAGGTGGAATTACGGTGAAACCAATAAAACTTAGGCTTAGGGCTCCACGCTTGCAGAGGTCCCTTCCAAGGGCTGTAACTAATTTTGTATTAATAATTTTTTATTTTTTAAAAGGGCGTCCAAAATTAAACTCCTATTTGAAGGAGACTGTAACTATTGTTTGACGACTATAGTAGAAGGACAGACAAGGTTAACAGTTAGGGTTCACTATACTGACATTTGACTAAACAGTTGGGGGTTTTTTTTTCTTCCTTTTAACTTTTCAAGTCATGTTTTTTACATTATCAGCCCTGAATGATTTAGATCACCCTCCCATTCTCATGGCAGAGAGCATCCTCTGGTCACCATGCTTCGAGCACGTGGGTTGTAAATTTCCTTCAGAGTTTCTTCCAGGTAAGGGGCTCATGGCTGGTAGAAAAGAATGTCCTCTTTCTGCAGCCACAAGGATGACATCGGTTTGCTGACACCATGACGGGAACTGCCAAAAACACAGTTCTATTCCCATCTATTTCTTATAAAAATGTTCCAGAGTACAAAAGTAATTAATATTTTTACCTTACTCTTTGGCCGGATCTTTTTCCTTACATTGCAAATCCTAGAATCTAAGGACCATGCCTGATTATATTGCTCATGTGTCATTGTCCACAGCTCTATCTGCCTTCTGATGATGAATATATCTTAATTTAAACATAAATAGGTGTCATTTCTTTGAGGGAAGTTTCTTTGTTATTGGAATTTTATATCTGCCGGGGTCCTGAATAGAGTGATTTCTGCCTGTTAGGTATGTTGAAAATATTTGGTGGGTAATGAATGAGCCTGTTTCCTAGGTGTTTAGTTAATTAACTGTTCAATTTTGATAGACCCTAATATTTTCCTCTTTAAAATTGCTAAATGTATTATTTTTAAGGGAATTATTTTGGGATAGAGTTAAGTGAAGAATTTCAATGGTATAAACAGTTCTTAATTCAAAAAGAGATTGTGCCAACTCTACATGATCCCGTGGTTAGTTCAAAGGAGGAAATGAACACAAGTTAATCTTTCAAGTTAAATTGACTAAATTAATCCAGTCAAAACATTTAACTTGTTGTCCAATGCAGACCTATCCTAAAAGTAGGATATAGAGGTATTTTATATACATAACTAATCACGTTTATCTTACTTAAATTTCTAGAGTTTCATATCCTGATTGCATGCTATCTCCAAACACCGGAGTTAAAGGTTATAGTTTCAAGGTCAAGCTCTTAACAGTAGTAATGCTTTTTGTTGTCGTTGGTCATGACGTCTTCAAACGTTACTATCATAGGAAATTGCATATTTCTTCTATTGTTTGTATATATGCATTTATATATATGCAAGACAGCATTTGTTGTTTTTCCCAGTGTTACGGACCTAAACTATGAAAAATCAAAAAAAAAAGTGTTCTATGTGGAAACAGAAGCAGTCTTTTTATTATTTTTCAAGGTTTAGAAAAACATCTGCAAGCCATGCCAACATGTAGTAAGCTAAGGCACAGGTTATATTTACAAGATGCGAAAACACACAAATGAAAATGAAAACAAAAATTAGCAACTTAGAGAAATAGCTTTTCTAGACTATGGAAATTATCTTTGGTTTCTGCTTTTGGGGATAAAATGGGTATTAAATTAACCCATGAGAAAAAGAAAGAAAAGCTAGCAGAGATTAAAAAAAAAATAGTAGGGAAGATGTATCAGATTTTGTAAGATGGAAGCTGATGGATCTGTGATAACTAAATTAGTAAGTAGCCATAAAAGCTGTTCCTCTGAAGGATGAAGCCAACAATGATGATTCAAGCTAAAGAACTATAGAAGGGCCCAAGAATGGGAAGTTAGGGAAAGGGGGAGAGTGAAAACAGAGGACTGACTGAGTGAAAGGATGAGCAAGAGGCATTTAGCTACACAGATCTACTCCAGTACCTCGACTAGTGGGTGACCACACAGCCTAGAAGAAACTTCACATAGTTCTTCAGTCAGGGATCAGTCCACCTGTACAGCCCAGCTACAGCTAAATATTAGGATTGATATTTTTGGTGGAAAAAAAACTTTTCCTGGTTAAAAATTTTAAAAAGTTGAAAACCCACAATTTTGATGGCAATTTGGATGGCATGTGCAGGGAAAATTGGGCAAGTGAAATTCTATGTGGGTAGAAGGGAAGACAGTCAATAAAGGACCATTGAAATAGTCCACATGTGTGATGAGAAGTTTCCGATCATGCCTTGTCTGGGAATGGATGGGAGAGGCTCAGAACAGTCAGAACACATGTGTGCGGTGTGGCGGGCGAAGGAGTGAACGCTTACTCTGGGGTGTTAAGATTGGGTAACTAAGAGGATTGAGTTTCTGCAAGAGAAGCTGTTGAATTTGGTTTTAGAGCCATTGATAGTGAGATGCACGATAGTCAGCTGGCAACTGGAATGCTTTGGGTTTCACACCGTGGGAAAAATTCAGATCTACGAAAAACGTAGGAGAAGAGATGGGGAAGATGTCTGTAAGGATAAGCATGTAGAGACAATGGAGAGGGAAAAAATCTCCACGAATAGGAACCAAGAGAGGGAAAGAGGGGTAACCAGGAAGGTCGGGAGAAAGTCAGAGGAGTTTGCTGTCACTGAAGGAAGAAGCTTAAGAAAAGGGAGCTAAGGCATGTTCATCACTGCTGAGAAACCA